GTGTGTGTGTGTGTGTGTGTGTGTGTGTGTGTGTGTGTGTGTGTGTGAGTGTGTGTGTGAGTGTGTGTGTGTGTGTGTGCATGCGTGAAGTGTATATAGTCTATGAATGTGTAAGGACTCTATTAAAATGTACTTGTTCCTTATACAGTTCTCTCTAATCTTTATTGCTTTCAGTCAACAAGCATTTATTAAGCACTTATTACGTTCCAGGCACTGTGTCAAGCACTAAGAATACAAATTAAGACAAGAACAAAGGAACAAAAAAGGTTCCCGCCCTCAAGGAGCTCACATACTAACAGCTATATTACATCGTAGACCAGCAGTCTCCAGTCTTTTTTGAGCCTGTACACCTTCAGCATGATATTTTTGAGCATATACTCCCAAATATGTATGTTTGGTTATTTGTAAATTATATGAGGGTGCTGCTATACTAATAATTTTTTATATTATCCAGCTTACACCAAAAAATACAATTTGCAAAAGGATGAGACAAACGTGTAATAATAGTGGATCCTGGAGTCAATAGGAAACGATTGAAGTTTATTGAACAGATGAGTGACAGGCTCACACTTTAGGAAAGTCACTTTGGCAGTTTGTGGAGGAGAGTGATGATAATGATTAATAATAATAATAATAATAATTAGCATTTATATCGTATTTTAAAGTTCGCAAAGCACTTTTCATATGGCAAACTCATTTAATCCTCACAGCCTTGTGAGGTAGGTACTATTATTATCCCCTTTTTATAATTTCAGAAACTGAAACTGAAAGTAGACACACAGCTAGGTGTCACATAGCTAGAAAGTCTGAGGCAGGCTGGGAATTCAAATCTTCCTGACTCCAAGTCCCATTCTCAATCCACTATGCCACCTAGCAGCTTTAAGAATACAATAGAGGCTTGAGGGTGGGAGACCAATTTGAGACCTTAGAGTAAAAGTCCAGGTGAGAGGTGAAAAGGACCTGAACTCGAGTAGTGGTGGCCTTAAGAATGAACAGAAGAGGATGTACAAGAGACTTGGAAGCAGAAAGGACAAGATCTGATCACAAACTAGATATGTGGAAGGTGGGGTTAAGGAAAAGTCAAGAGTCAAAGATGATGGGACAGTTAGGGGGCGTAGTAGATAGAGCACTGGCCCTGGAGTCAGGAGGACCTGAGTTCAAATCCAGTCTCAGACCAGACACTTGACACTTGCTAGCTGTGTGACCCTGGGCAAGTCACTTAACCCCAATTACCTCGCCAAAAAAAAAAAAAGTCAAAAGTGATATGAATGTTGTGAAAACCTGGATGACTAGGAGGATGGTGGTGCCCTTGACAGTAATAGGGAAGTTTGGAAGATAGGTAGGTTGGAAGTGGGGTGTGGAAAGATAATCTAATGAGACCTGTGGTTCAGATTCCAATCCACTCACACCTGCTTATCTCACAATGAAAGGTGGGGAAGCAAAGATCTTACAAGTCACTACCCCAGTATAGCAGCCATGAGGGGATCTGAGAGGCAAAGTGTAGGGACAGAATTTCCCGGTGGCACAGAGTAACTGTTGTGGTAGAAGTTTTGGTTGTAACTGTGCTGAGATGCCTGGCCAGACTCAGAAGGGATAAGAGAAAACTTGCACAGCAGAGGGAGGAGGTAGAGTATTGAGGGATAAGAATAGGCCATAGTTATATCTGAGACAGACCTCATGATTGGCTATCAACTGGTTATCAAAGAGAAAATGGGATAAAATCTGTCTTGCCACCCTCTAGTTGGTTGATCTCACACTCCATGAGGTGAGTCCACTATTATTCCTTCCCCTGCTTTGGAGAGCACTTTTATAGACAATAATTAGATAATTGCTTCCCTCACCCTCCAGAAATAACCTGTGTTGAAATCTGAATAAAAACTCAAGGCTCCCTACTCCATACTCCATTTTAAAATGAAAACCAGGTAGGTGTTATGAAATTCACATTATTTTATTGGCATGACTTTTCTCCACCAACCTCTTCCCTTCTCATATTTAGGCAGCCTTTCTCCAGCTGCCAAGATAATCTTAAAGCAGGGATCTGACCACAACACTCCCAGACCCTTTAACTTTCAGAGGCTCCCCATTTCCAACAGAATGAAGTACAAGCTACTTAGCCTTCAATTTAAGCCCTTCTCCAACTTAGTTTACCCTACTTTTACACCTTTATTTTATAGTACTATCTTACTTAGTCTCTATACAATAAACAATACCTGAATACACTTATGCACTAAGAATCCCCGTGACAGGAATAGACTTCTCCCCTAACTCATCTCCACTTAATGGCATCTCTTCTCCTTCAAGGCCCAGCTCAGGTGTCATTTCCTCTCCTGATATCTGCCACTACCATCCCCACCCCCCCCCACCCCATAGATGTGATCCCTGCCTCTTTAAATCATTTAGAATTCTTTGCATAATTTGACTGTGCACTTACTATTTTTCTGAATGATATTAAAAAGAGTAACAGTTGAGTTTAGAGGCATGCTTAGAGTCAGGAGCACCTGGGCTCTAGTCCCACCTTCCTCTGTCATATTCTGATTTTGTGGCCCTGCAAGTCACTTAACCTCTCAATGCTTCAGATAACTGACTCTAAATTGAAGATCAGTTGCCCATTTACATTGATAGAAGTTTCCTAACTAGGAATTCATTACACCAAGAAAAGTATCAGAATATCATTTTAAAAAAAAAGAATAGTTAGAATTTGAATAAGAGAAAATGAAAGGATCTTTTTAGGTGAAGGGAATAATAACAGCAAAGGCAAGAAAGTAAGAATAAGTATGGGTGGGTATAGTAGGAAGGAAGCCAAAACTGACTAGAGTAGGGACCTGAGAAATGTGGTTGGATAGATACCTCGGGACCCATTGAGATTGAGAAGGCTTTTGAATGTCAGACATGAAGTTTGTAGTTGAATCTATCCATACTAGAAGCATTATTGCAAGTTCAGAAGCAAGGGATGGGCATGATTAAAATGGTGTGTTGATAACATTAATTTTGTACTGGTATGTAGAATGAATTGCTCAGAGAAAAATTGAATGGGAGATCAAGTTAGAAGAGTACTGTGGTAATCCAAGTATGAGATGATAGTATCTTGGCTAGGATGAAGGTAGTTATTTGCCAACAGCATTAATAAATGCCACATTTGCAGAAGAAATTGTATTCTTAGTTCTATCTGCAACTGAGTCGTCAGAATTTTCAGAGTTCAATAACATTTAAAACATGTCACAGAGATCTGGAAAATTTAATGGGCAGAAAAATGGAAGGAAGGAATAAAGAAAAGAAAGAAGGAAGGAAGAGAAAGAAAGAAGAAAGGAAGGGAGGGAAGTAAAGAAAGGAAGGAGAGGAAGAAAAAGAAAAGGTGGGAAAGCAGAAAAAGGAACAAAGAGGAAAGAAGAAAAGGAAGAAGGAAGGGGAGAAAGGAGAGAAAGCATAAATACAATCATAGGCTGAGCAAGCTGCAACAGATAATAAATGAGGAACACCAAAGAAGAACTGGAGCAAAGTATGTCATAAGAGAATGATTAATTGAATGAAAGAAAAAGCATTTACTAAGCATTGACTACATACTAGGCACTGTGTTGAGCACTGGGGATACAAATACTAGCAGGAAAGTCATTGCCCTCAAGGAACTTACATTCTAATAAGAAAAGACAACACTACTGGGAGGGGGGTGAAGATGACCGAGGAGAAGTCAGAAAGATAATGAATGTAGTCATAGGATCATTGATTAGCGTGTTCTTTCTAGGAATGATAGTGTTAATTTGATAACTTCTCAGAGGTAGAGTTGGAAGATATAGGGAGGGTAACTTGGCATGAAAATGTTCAGAAAGTGGTGTGGTGGGCCTGAGTGCAGGCAAGATAGAGCTTTTGGTTGATCTCCCTAGCTCAAATCTATCCCCACTC